TATAGTGTGCCTAAGGAGAGTCGCCTAGAGAAAAAAACTCTCTCAGGCTCTCACAGAGAACAAATTGGTCAAACAATGGCCATGACTCATCCAGATGGCTGACATTGACAGAAGATCTAAGAGATGCTATACATGGTTCCAAATAAATCCTGAAGAGCTTTAACTGACCTTGTCAGATAGCAAAAGTTACATTTGTGGTTATACAGGTCTTGCTTTAACTTGGTCTTAATCATCCAGCAGAAAAGTGTAACCACAAGTTATGAAAAGTAATGTCATATTAATATGCTACACCATAAAAGGCTCAACTCAACAACTTCTGACAATTACCAGCTGTGCTGATGACTTACTAGTATTATGGACTATCAGACTATGTAGGCTTATATTGCTAAATTCAAGTACCTACAATCTGACATCAAGTGTAAAAGGTCCTTTAAAGACGTCTCTAAATATAGATTCTGTAGCTGCTATGGAACACCCATCTCTGACAAAACAATACAAAAAAGTGAGATATGTTGGGAGCCCCAGGAAGCTAGAAAATTGATCAAATGTGTGCAGGTAGGACTGGGCCTCAGTGCCTAAAACAAACAAGCTACTTCAATCTTGAGAAAAACAGTCACATGGACAGAAAACTTTCTCTCAGGCTTTCACAAAGAGCAAATTGGTCAAGCGTTGGCTGTGACTCATCCACATGGCTGACACTGACAAAGGATCTACAAAGTGCAGTACAGGGTTACAGGATAAATCCTAAGGGTACTTGATTGACGTTATCAGATACAAAAGTTACATTTCTTGTTATGTAAGTCTTGCTTTATCTTGTTCTTAATAATCCAGCAGAAAAGTACAAAAATGAGGTATATAAAGCCATATTAATATGCTGAGCTATAAAAGGCTGCAGAAGTCAACAACTTCTGCAGATAACCCACTACTGTTATAGACTACTGGACTGTGTCAGATTGTTTTGCTGAATTTAAACACCTATAATATTTAGATGCCAGGGCTGGTGAGATGGCTCAGTGGTCTAAAGCACCTACTTAGAACAAGCTTAGCAAAGCAGAGGGACCGCGGTTCAATCCCCCAGCACCATATGCCAGCCAGCCTCGCCCCCTAGTGGGCTGAGCTGACCACACACACACACACACACACACACACACATAAATAATTTTTAAAAAATATTTAGATGCCAATAGAATACACATCTCTGACAGGACTGAACTGGAGAGGGGGATACAGAGGAAGGACCACTTTGTATTTGTATATACAAAATAGTTAGGATAGATGTACGGCTGCTTTCGCTTGGTTCAGTGAGAGGAAGGATTTGTAGTAGTAGTGTTTGGATGGGATGTCCTGGTTGCTTCTTGTGCTGTGGATGACTGCTGAGAAGATAACAATGTGCAATGTATTAATTATTGAAAATGTCCTAATAATCAGCTTGGAAAGTGTCTCACTGATATTTGTTTCTCAAAAAAACAAAACAAAAACTTGAGAAAAACATCCTGTCTGGTTGAGACCAGCTACTAGTCGCTAGGCAACCTTGTGTCATGTGTTAAAAAACTTTGCAAAAGTATAAATAAAGGATCATATTGTTGTGAGTTGAGTTAGTGTTGTCCATTCAGGCAGGCTAGCGATTACCTAGTGCAGCTTTTTGTCTTCTTATCTATCTTTCTCATTCCTGCCGTCCTTTCTCCCCAGGTAGAACTGTTCGCAGTAAGACCAACAGATCCCTACACAGGACACATTATAAGACTATTTTATAATGAATCACACAAAAATTACAGGAAATGTATCCACACATTAAAGACCAAAGAATCCAGCTGAGGGCTTGGATCCCATGGCAATGTTCTACTTCAGTCCAGCTGAAGATCTAGAGCCCATAACAATGCCTCCCACAAATCCAACTAGAGCAATAGGGCCTGTGACAATGGCTGGTGTAGGTGTGTTTCACAGATCTGCACTTGGAAGGCCCAAAGCTCATGGGTAGAAGCTAGACAGTCTCTATCAGCAAAACAAAAGATCTGTACTAGCAGACTGAGTGAGTTGCACTGGAGCCACAAAGCAACACTGAAAGTAACAACCAGAGCTTTCCCAAAACGTGTTGGGAGCCACTGGAAAACTGGTCAAATGTGTGAAAGCCAGTCTAGGCCTCGTACCTAAAGCAGACAAGCTACCTCAGTCCTTAGATAAGCATCTTGACAGGCTATTAGTCACAAGGTAACCCTGTTTCATGTTACTAACTTTATAAATAAACATCACATTGTTGCACAGGCTATTAGTCACGAGGTAACCTTGTTTCATATGTTACTAACTTTATAAACGTATAAACATCACATTGTTGCACAGGGGGTCAGTCACCACTTAACCCAGCTCTTCTTTCTGTTTTCCTCATTCCAGGTGTTTGTCCCTGGGTACACTGAGAGAACAACAGATCCTTAGGAATACTAAGGGCCTGAGCACCTCTGATGAGTGAGGCTGGGTTACTAGCAGGAAAACTAATGTGACAAATTTCTCCAAGAAACGACTGCACATCATCTTCACCTATGGAGCCTCAATGGGAGGAAAACATCTCCCCAAACAGAAACATAGCTGTCCTCACTGGTTAGAAGAACCAAGCTCCTCCAACGACAAAAACAACTTTTCTAATAGCCTGTTCTGCAGCAGGCAACAATTCTCACGGGAGCCTAAAACAGGGAAAATCGTCCTCCTTCCGTTCAGAGGTATAAAACTAAAAACCAGCTGGAAATGTACTAGTATTTATTACGTTAATTATTGGATCCTGTTTACACTGCCTAGACATTTCTTAGGCTTCTAAACTGGAAATGTGAAAACCCATGTGCATGTCTTTAACTCAGGACATGAACACCATAGGAAAGGGAATACGTTCCACCCAAGCTTGGAGTACACCTTGAGTACAGAGTTTTAGGACGCTGAACTTTAAAGAAACTTAGCATAAAGGTCCACAACTGAATGGAAGAGAAGGGGCAGACTGGATGCCTATTAGTTTGGGCCATGTGGACACATTACTTGGCCTTCTGAAACCAAACTTAGTAGCCATAAAAGAAACAAGGCATTGATTTGACTATGTTTGCAAGCAGGAACATAAGCTCTAGATGTGGCTCAACTGCCAGAAGAAGGCAAGGCCCTAGACTCCACTGCCAGCGTCAGTACGCACAAATGGTCTACAGCACAACAGACACAGAGACAGCGACAGACATGAGACGCACACGCAGAAACAGACAGAGAGACAGAGACAGAGACAGAGACAGAGACAGAGACAGAGACAGAGACCCCACAGAGCAAAGAACAGTTCTCCATTCAGAACAGATTTGTGTTCCCTGGGGAGAGGGAGAAACATTGCTTGCCACTAGCCAGTACCTTGCTACCCGCGCTGTACAACACCCCTTCTCAGAAATACCAAATGAGTGAGCAGGAGATGGACTAGAACTACAGAACAGTGATCATGGGCTGGGGGGAGCCGAGGTCACGGCAAGTGGA